GTGCTTACTGAGTTTATCATAATGTGGATTCATCATTTTCTACTGCTCAATCTTTATTTACTCTTGTTACTTACTGGGTTGGAATACTCATATTACTCCATGCATCTCGTGCGCAGATTCAGGTATTTCGAAACTCGATAGCGGGTGTTGATTGCTCAGACGCAGAGTCATCAAAGTTAGCAATGTGGCTGCATGATGTTCGCAACACTGCTTCCTTTCTCTCATTTTCATTACTGTACTTGGTACATTTTTAGACTGTTTTGTTGTATTCAGACCTTGGTAGATGCTCATGACTAGTGACACCCCGATGTCGGGCTTGTATGTTATTTCCGCACTGTTCATTCAGACTTATATTATGAAACATTTGTTAAATTAAAGGCTTAAAAATGACTCTTAATGATTAAAAGGTTAAAATGGGTGTTGTGTCGGCTGGCCTTGTCTTCACGAGAGGCGCCATCACGACCAAGTTTGAGTTTTGGGTCGTGACACTACTGAATAACAAGGTACGAAATAAATCCTCTAATACAACTATCTGAATATGAGAAACAGTAAAGATAAAGATAACAGGAAGAGAACTTCAAGGACTACGAATAGTATGGCAGCTACCTCGTAGTCTCCTAAATAGCTGGCACAACTTAAGCCTAGAAATCACCTCGGCCGGATGTACCTAGATCTGCACACAGAGAGCAGAGTGTAGTATGAGTACAATCGACCCAATATACTCAATAAGTAACAACACTAACCTTGGGTTGAAAGCAGTGACGAGCTCAGAATAATAGTCAAATAACAGTACCAATATCTGATAACAGTTCAGAAAATACAAGATAAACCGTAAAAACAGTAAATCAATGATGTCAAGTACAACTCGTTCTCATTTCAGGAATTTAGTCATGCTTTCAAGTATAACAGTTTAAAACCCAACACGGATAAAGCAGGTCAATTACCAGTTAGCATGAGGAAAGCACATCTCTATGCCTACATGTCAAGTATACACGTAAATCAACAGTACACAATGGATCCATCAATAGTATTTACGCTTAGCACTGTACGAGTGTCTGGCATAACTGCCCAACCACTAATTATAATCACTTAGCCCAATAATGAGGCTTAGTGCACGCGTCACCATAAAATGGTAATACTCAGCCAATATGGGCCTGATGTATGCGTCACCTCAGAATCAGTACCAACCCGACTTTAAGGCCCAAACTCAGTCATTTATTGTTCAAGTCTCAGATGAACACATCTCAAATATTCAATTAAACAGTTTTACCCTTAAGCGATATCAACAACATGTGAGGAATCAAATAAGAAGTATTGAGACAGAGATATCATACATGGATATAGTATCATGACTGAGTACATGTGTGCAAATAAGGTATATGACTCAAAAACAGTAATAATAGCCCTATCAAGTCTGAAATAGTTAGCACATAGCCTAGACATGATGTCTAACATGACTCACAATTCAAATAATCAAACAAGTAGAGGGGACGCGGAGGTAACATGATATGATAGCTAAACAGGCTCGGTATTAGCCTAAAGGCCTCCCCAAACCATGAAGAAACTGGTGCAAGCACACACGTCCGTCACTAAGTGCGTACGTCATCCCAATATCTTTCACATAATGTAGTCCTTAGGGTTAAATACCCTTAAATCCAAGTTTAAATGTGTTACTTACTTCAAATCGTGCAAATCACAAATTCAACAAGCCCTTCCCATGCGTATCGGCCTCCAAACTACACGAATATAGTCACAAACAACTCAATATCAACAAATAATGTTGTAGGAAATAACTTCAAACAATAAAGTTTCGATCTTTATCAAAATCAAAAAGTCAATCCCAGGCCCACGTATCGAAACCCGACAAAATTTATAAATTCCGGACACTCATTCGATTACAAGTTCAACCATACCAAAATCATCTAATTCCGACCTCAAATCGATTTTCAAACCTCTATTTTTTATTTTTTGAAAAGTTTCCACCAAAATCCCCATTTCTTCACTTTAATTCACTAAATAAACGATAAAAACAAGGATGGAATCATAATAAATGACAAACCCGAGTCAAAAATACTTACCCGGTCCAAGACGTGAAAATCCTCTCCAAGATCGCCTAAAATCGAGCTCTACAACTCAAAATATGAAACTAATACTCTAACCCTCGATTTAGGATTTTAATATCTGCTGCCCAATTGTTCCTCTTCGCGATCGCAAAATGACCGCCGCGATCGCGAAGAATAAAATTCGCTGCCTTCCAAATGGTCTACACGAACATGAATCACTAGTCACAAACGCGATTCTCATCAACCCAGAACGCCGCGATCGCGGACCAAGATACGCGATCGCAAAGAACAACGAGTGCAACTTCCAGACCTCACCTTCCTTCTTCACGAACACGTCCCTTCTTCCGCTTTCGCGTTGCAAAATCAACCAAAGCTCAATCACGTCCTCAAACTCGCCAAATCGATGAATAACTTTCCATAGCCACCAAACAACCCTTCGCGATCGATGTCCTCTCTTCGCAATCGTGTATAAGGAAACTAGATACACCAGTCCAACAAGGCCAAAATGAGCCGAACATGATTCGAATCACACCCGAGGCACTCGGGACCCCATCCAAACATACCAACAAGTTCTAAAACACGATATGAACTTAGTCAAAACCTCAAATCACATCAAACAACACCAAAATCACGAATCACACCCCAATAAAAATTCACGCCTAATGAACTTCTAACTTCTAAAACTAATGTCGAATCATACCAAACCAACTCCGATTGACCTCAAATTTTGCACACAAGTCATAAATGACACAATGGACCTATTCCAACTCTACAAACCCGATATCAATAAAGTCAACTCTTGGACAAACTTCTCAACCTTCTAAGCCTTCAACTTTCTAATTTTCGCCAATTCAAGCCAAAACGACCTATGGATTTCCAAATCGACATCCAAACATATGCCTAAGTCCGAAATCACCATATGAAGCTATCAGAACCATCAAAACTCCATTCTGAAGTCTCTACTCAAAAGTCAAACTCCAGTCAACTCTTTCAACCTAAGCCTTTAACCTTGGGACTAAGTGTCCATTTCACTCCGAAACATCTCCGAAACCAAACCAACCACCTCGGCAAGTCACATAGCCATAATTAAATATAGAAGAAGAGATAAATGGAGAAACGAAGCTACAATAATCAAAGCGATCGGTTGGGGTCGTTACAACAAATATTAACTATATCATCGTGTGTTTGAATTCTCTTCTACTTGCTATTGAATGCATGAACCCATATATCAAAGATTGGTAAGCCCTCAAGGACCACAAACCAACATTTAGGATTAGTTTAAGGAAAAATTACGCAACGTATCAAATATTTTCACTGTATTTATTATTCGTAGCTATATTTTTAACAAATTTACTATTCGTAGTTATATTTGAATTTTATAGCAAATCCATGAAATAAGAGATTAATTGAACTGAAACAATAGAACAACAAGCTCTCCTTGCTCAGTTGGTTAGAGCGCCTGCTTAGTTAGCGGAGGTCTTGAGTTCGACTCTCAACAATAATATTTTATTTTTCTGTATTTCGCTTAGTTGTATTCGTTGCGCTAATAAATACAGTTGATACACGTTGTATTCGTTGCGCAAACGAATACAGTTGACATGGACTGTATTCGTTGCGCATTTGAAACAAGTGATACAAGTTAGTAAAAATTAAATTGTAACTACAAATAGTAATTAGGCAAACTATAGTTACTAGGCTCTAAACAATAGTGATTTATGAAAATTCCTCTTAATTTAATACATGATATTTTGTAATATATACTTAATGTTTATATATACACTAGGATTGATAATGTAGAGGTGTGATTTATAATATTGTAAAGTAAAGGGTTTCCCCATTATAATTTTGTGTTTTGAAAAAAAAACCGAATTCAAAATAATTATTTCTTTTAGAAATTTCTTTACAAAAATAGGGTGAAAATTAGTTACATCCCTCAATTTTACTTTAAATATTAATCTCATCCTCTAACTTTGAACAATAGGCACTCTCATCCTTTTATCTTATGCAATATCTATTTTATCCTTGACGATTTCAATTCCCCATATATGTATTAACTTTTTATATCGTATTTGATAGTTTATATTTTTAAGTATGTTTTTAACTATGATTTTAAATAATATTTTTTTAGTATATAACTTAATTAAGGTCATTGACATAATAAATAGAATATTTAGTTTATAAATTTATTATAAAATCTATCGTACTTTTATGATTATTGTTTTAATATTACGTGTATTAAATAAGTATGCATATAATGTATGTCTTTCCGTGTTTTAGAGAGACTTTAAGTCAACTTTTCTCTTATTTTTTATTATATTATGTATATAGATTTTTGAGTTTTGACTGTTATTAATAGAATTTTTTGTAGATTGAAAAATAAAATTTATGTAAAGTATAAATAGATAAATTTTAGGAATTTGTTATAAAATTTACTCAATTTTCACCTTTTTTTATTACATGCATTGCATAAATTACAAAGTTCTCACTTTCTTTTATTTTTAAATTTGTAAATAGATTGAGTTTTGATTGCTATTAATAAGATTATTGATATGAGTATTTTTAAAAAAATTTCATTATTGAATGCCATTAACTTTTATGCTTGATTACTATTTCTTACTCTTTTTTATTTCAAAAATAATATTTATTTGTCTATATGTAAGTCTATAATATAGATTAAAATAAGAAAAATAAAAAAAATGATATAAAATTGTAAAGGGTAAAATAAGTATTTTAAAAAGTTAACTTTGATATAAGGATGAAATGATTATTGTTCAACATTGAAGAATAAGTTTGATTTTCAAGTAAAATTTTGGATGTAAATGAATCTATTCAAAATTAGGTTTGTACAGAAAAAAAGGCTTTTAATAACACTATCAAATGTCACCTAAAGAATGTTATTTAATCATTAGTTCGGATCTCAGACACAAGTGTACTCCTGTTTACAACTCAAAAGAGACTTCACCAATTTAAGTTTTGTCTAATCCAAAAATTCCATATGCATTTCTAGCATCAGTTCTCTCTCTTCTCTTCAGAAGAACTGTGTATCTCTCTCTCCCACTTCGTTTCCTCTCTGTATTGGAGGGTTTCTTCTTCGTCTGAGATCTCTCTGGCGTTTGGACTCCCCACCAAATCGCCCATTTGATTTCGCAATTTAATCACAGATCCGGAGCTCCGATCCATTATCTTTGATCTCGCCCATCATGGCGGCTGCTAACGCTCCGATCACCATGAAAGAGGCCCTCACGGTATAATTACTTGAGCCTCGATTATGTACTGTTTTGAGTCACATTGATTCGCTATTGTTATTAGTGTATTGATAGGTTAGCATGTGTGGACTGTTAGTTAGATCTTTCATACGTAATTATATTGCCAGATCTGTATAGAGAGTATGCTATTGATTTTGTTATACTGGATTGAATTTCGTATTATGTTGCGCAGTTGCAAAGTATAGGGGTGAACCCGCAGTTCATCACGTTCACGAATGTTACCATGGAATCGGATAAGTATATATGCGTAAGAGAGACGGCGCCTCAGAATAGTGTGGTGATTATTGATATGAACATGCCAATGCAACCTTTGAGGCGTCCAATTACCGCCGATTCTGCTCTTATGAATCCTAATTCTAGAATTTTGGCTCTAAAAGGTATGGATTCTTAGCTACAAGTATTAAATTCTCATGGATGGGTTCTCATACTGGTTCAAGTTACTGACTTTTAAACGATTTTGATAACAATTCCTGAATTGCCAATGATATTTTTATTTATTGGCTTTAGAGTTTGTTGGCTTACTCGCTTTCGAGCAACTAAGCATTCTCTCTTCACCACTTTCCTGATATACTAAAGAACTTTGAAACTAGCAAAAAGTAGAAGGGGTTAGCAATCATAGTGTAAAATGCACATGTGAAGCTTTTAGCAATCTAAGTGCGAAATAGGGGATGGATCAAGGAGGTTGATTGGGTTTTGACTGTATTGCGTGTCGTGATCTCCTCCTTGGGGAGATCCTTGTGGATATCACACACTTTTTGATTGGAGTTAGGGAAACAATAGGAACTAATTGGTGGCCATTCTCAAGTTTACTGGGGAAGCTGGCAATTGAAGAAGGTGTTCCATAATCGTACATTTTAGTCCCTTTCTCTCATAACACCTTATATCACTTGAGTGTTGATACACTTTCAATCTGTTACCCTGCTGCTAATGGTTGATGCATTTCTTATCTTATCTAGAACGTGTGGTTTCTAATTGCATCTTCATTGTATTTTCTACAATAGTGGAACTTATCGTTGTCTCCGCTACATGTTCTGTTATTAGCGAGTTGTTGCTTACAGAATTCCCCTTCCAGGGACATCCTGGTGTATGTTTTTGGAGTTCTTTATTAGGACCAGCACATTGTAGTTTGGCTAGGTCAATTTTACTCTTTCATTCGTTCTCTTACACAAAATGATGGATTTCTTTTATAAATTATTAATTTTTCATCAAAATAATTGTTAAATTAAATAGAGTATCAGTGAATAATACAGGGGAAAATTTGTTTTCCTTCATCTACATTCATATCATAAGTGAGTTAGAAAATATTTTTTTAAAGCTTAACAAACTGCTCTTCATCTGCCTTGTTAAAAAAATATAAGGACCACCCTATGATACAATCCTCTGTTATCTCTTGAAGCTCAAGTCCCGGGAACTAGTCAAGATCACTTGCAGATTTTCAATATTGAGGCAAAGCAGAAAATGAAATCATATCAGATGCCTGAGCAGGTACTGGCTTTATGTATTTATTTTTTATTTGGTTTATGCATTATTTAGTGCCCACAGCCATGGATCATGTGATGCACTGCTCAGCCATATAATGACCAAATGTGTACTATAGGTTGTTTTCTGGAAGTGGATTACTACGAAGATGTTAGGTCTTGTTACACAAACATCAGTCTATCATTGGCCAATTGAAGGTAGGGTAGTTTTCTTTTTCACATTACAACCTTTTCTTCTTCTTTTTGCCTGGTTAAGCTTTATTTCTGTTGGTAGTAATTTCTTGGTCACTTTTTGAAGCTGAGCTGGTGGATGGTTGTCTGCCCTTTATAATTCCCACTTGTCTTTGTGCAGGGGATTCTGAGCCTGTAAAGATGTTTGATAGAACAGCCAATTTAGCCAACAACCAAATAATTAACTACCGATGTGATCCTTCAGAGAAATGGTTGGTTTTGATTGGTATCGCCCCAGGTTCACCAGAGGTGTGTAATGTTTATATGCTAATGAAAAATCAGTCTTGGTGTCCTATATTTTTTAAAACAGTCCTTCTCAACTTCCCAAGCAGCCTTTTCAATGTCATTGGGGAAACTGGGAAAGCTTGTGCAGGGCTTGTCAGCTTCTTTTATCTCTGTGATTGCTCTGTCTACATCCTATTGCTGTAAAATGCTTTTTCCATGTACTTTTCAATCTTTGGATTGTGTATTGCATTGAAATGCCAGTATACTGCAACTATTTTTGCTATTTGGATGTTCGGTGGTATCAGATAAAAAAAACCTTAAGCTTAAAGATTGGTAGAACCCTGTTTGTGTTTGTTACGTTTCTGATGATTTCTCATATGTTTAATGTACAAGGAACATGCACTTCTTTATTTGACTATTCTGCTATCTTTCTGTTAATAGAGGCCCCAACTGGTCAAAGGGAACATGCAATTATTTTCAGTGGATCAGCAACGAAGTCAAGCTCTCGAGGCACATGCTGCAGCATTTGCCACATTCAGGGTGAGAAAAGCGCCTCCATTCTTTTGATGTGTTACACTGTTCTTGATTTTATGTTTCCAACCTGACTGTTGCATGCTTTATTCAGGTTCCTGGAAATGATAGGGATTCTATACTCATTTCTTTTGCCACAAAATCCTCGAACGCTGGACAAGTCACATCAAAGTTGCATGTCATTGAGCTTGGAGCCCAGCCAGGTCACTACACTGCTCTTCTCTTCCTTTCTCCAGAAGTTTAATCTTGGAGTTCTTTTAGTAAAATTGTTGTGAGAAAAATGCCTAATGTGATTCTCATAAGTTTTCGTACTGTGTTAAATGCTTGCAGGGAAACCATCTTTTACGAAGAAACAGGCAGATCTATTCTTTCCTCCAGATTTTGCTGATGATTTCCCAGTTGCCATGCAGGTATTTCTTGCCTTCCCTGTGTGGCTCTGTTGTCACTTTATTTTGTCTTTCTGCATTTTGCCCTATTCAGTTTCCTGTAACATGGTTCTTTGTTATTTTGGCAGATATCTCATAAATACAGTTTAATTTATGTCATCACAAAGCTTGGGCTTCTCTTTGTCTATGACCTCGAAACAGCTACTGCAGTGTACAGGAATAGGATCAGCCCGGATCCTATTTTTCTGACAGCAGAAGCTTCATCTATTGGTGGTTTCTATGCCATCAACAGACGAGGTCAAGTGTTGCTCGCCACAGTAAATGAAGCAACTCTAGTACCTTTTGTCAGTGGTCAAGTATGTCAATTTTGTTTACTCTTTTATTATAATATATCATTAGCATTTTATTTGGAGATTTCTTTCTAGTTTGTATAAACCAGTATATAAATTTTGTACACATCATATTCCAGTTGAATAATCTGGAGCTTGCTGTTAATCTTGCCAAGAGAGGAAACCTTCCTGGAGCTGAGAATTTGGTAAGTTGATATCATATTGTCAACTTCCTATGGAAATCTACCCAATCTTTTCTTATTATACGGTGCACCATTGGTTTTGCTATCCTATCTGCGTTTCCTTCTCCGAGGACAATATACTAAAATGGAATCATTGATTGTTGTGGATATCATCAGCAGTTTGATCTTATTGATTCAACATGTTGATAATCTGAGATGATGTCTTTCTCTATAATGATCTCAATCTATTACATTTATATTTCCTCAGGTTGTCCAGCGGTTTCAAGAGTTGTTTGCCCAGACAAAGTACAAAGAAGCTGCCGAGCTTGCAGCGGAATCACCACAAGGCATACTCCGTACACCTGACACTGTTGCCAAATTTCAGGTATTGGTTATGACACCGGAAACATGTTTTACTCTCAGGATTTTTATCACTCCACAGTCCGTGAAAGAGTCTGAATATTCGTCTGTTATTCTGCAAAAGGTAGTCAAATATTTATTCACTTAGTTTTGTAATTGGTCTTTTTTGCAGAGTGTTCCTGTTCAAGCAGGGCAAACGCCTCCGCTATTGCAGTACTTTGGGACACTTTTAACAAAAGGGAAGCTAAACGCTTTTGAATCATTAGAACTGTCGCGTCTTGTTGTCAACCAGAACAAGAAAAACCTGTTGGAGAACTGGTTGGCCGAGGATAAGCTGGAGTGTAGTGAGGAACTCGGGGATCTTGTGAAGGTTAAATTTTGAATTTGAAATTCTTTATTTGCTTGTTCGCCACCTTATTTGCTTTTGCTTTTGCAAGTAGTCTATTGCTCTAGTTACTGATTGCACTCGTTAATTTTATTAGACTGTTGATAATGACCTTGCCCTGAAAATATATATCAAAGCAAGAGCGACTCCGAAAGTTGTTGCTGCTTTTGCTGAGCGCAAGGAATTCGACAAAATTCTGATATATTCCAAGCAGGTGAGTGGCTCATTTGTGTGGTCGTGTGGATGACTGTTTTGTGTCTTTCTTTTTCTCCGTTTGAATTTTTTAATTTGTTTTTCTTCTTTTTTGGTGCTTGTCTGAGCTTCGATGTTTAGATGGTTCAAACCTGTCTGGTATAACTGAATTCAACGTTGGATATTTAAAATGGTTTTTTTGGTTGATACAGGTTGGATATACACCTGACTACTTGTTCCTTCTTCAAACCATTATGCGATCTGATCCCCAGGTATGCTGAGAATAGTTCAATAACTCATAATGTTATCTTATCTCATCCATATCTACTGCCTTCATTTTGTAGATTTTACCAGATTTATTCTTCAGTATTTGGATGTTAATATCTTTGACTGTATGATGCAGCCTCAAATTTGGTTTTCTTTTTTGAGGAGATTTTGCTACAAGAATTGTGCATCTAATGATGTCACTTTGAGATATTGTACTCAGTTTAGAAAGTTGCCTTTTCTGTGGCGAAGAGAAAATGAGCACTTGTAAATCCGACATGGTGCTAATTTTGATGAAGTTGAACAATTTGTGCGTTTGTGCAGGGAGCTGTTAACTTTGCGCTCATGATGTCCCAAATGGAGGGCGGTTGTCCTGTTGATTACAACACTATCACCGATCTATTTCTTCAGGTTAATTGACTCATAATGATGTCAAATAGCTTGTAGACTGTCAAGCAGACAATTTATTACAAATTTATCCTTTCTTAAGTGCTTTAAAGTCTATGTGCATTAGAAAGCTTGCTGTCTTCTTCTGTGGGATGCAGTTCACAGCTGATAAGGGATTGTCTCTTTCTTTCTGCTTTTGTTAATAGAGGAACATGATCCGTGAGGCAACAGCATTTTTACTGGATGTTCTGAAACCTAACCTTCCAGAGCATGGCTTTCTGCAGACTAAGGTTTCTTTACTGTTTTCATTAGGAAGCTTTGTTTGTTAATCTCTTCTGCTTTTGAATCGTAACTTTTTCTTCTACTCAGGTCTTGGAAATCAACCTTGTGACTTTCCCGAATGTTGCTGATGCTATATTAGCAAATGGGATGTTCAGTCATTATGATCGACCTCGTATTGCTCAACTTTGCGAGAAAGGTGGTCTTTACATGCGGGCTCTGCAGGTTGAATCATTATCAGCATTTCTTCCTTAACTATTCCCAAGATACCACAGCTAAGTCAGAATAATCTATTTGTTGTTTCTGCAGCACTATTCTGAACTGCCTGATATCAAGCGTGTTATTGTGAATACACATGCAATTGAGCCTCAGGTTGGAAAAATCTATAGATCGTATTTACCTTTTCTTTAGGAGTTTATCTGACTTATACTGATTAATGCCGTTCCTTTCAGGCCTTGGTTGAGTTCTTTGGGACTGTTTCACGTGAATGGGCACTGGAATGCATGAAAGACCTCCTTGTTATCAATATCAAAGGGAACCTTCAAATAATTGTTCAGGTACTGGTTATGGTGTGTCATTGCAGAAGAGACCTTTTGCTGGAATTTATCATGTACTCTCACCTATAATGCTTGCATAAATTCAAGCAGCGGAATTTCTTGGTAGTATTCCACAATAATCAATAATGGCAGCTTAGCTGATTATGAGTATTGCAGGTTGCAAAAGAGTACTGTGAGCAGTTGGGTGTTGATGCTTGCATAAAGCTTTTTGAGCAATTTAAATCTTATGAGGGGTTATATTTCTTCCTTGGATCATATTTGAGTTCCAGGTGCATACTCAAGCTATCTTTTTGTCATTTTGACAGCCTAATTATAATTATTAATTAATCATTGATTTTTTGGGTCTTGTGCAGTGAGGATCCTGATATCCACTTTAAATATATTGAGGCAGCTGCCAGAACTGGACAAATCAAGGAGGTTGAGCGTGTCACAAGAGAATCAAACTTCTATAACGCAGAAAAGACAAAGAACTTCTTGATGGAAGCCAAACTTCCTGATGCTCGGCCTCTGATTAATGTTTGTGACCGCTTTGGTTTTGTTCCCAATCTCACACACTATCTCTATACCAACAATATGCTACGGTATATTGAAGGTTATGTCCAGAAGGTTCGTATGGTTTCTGTGTAATACTTGTTTTATGGAAGTATTTGCAAGTGGGAATGACAGGCTTTTATCTTTTGTGGAATAGGTCAATCCAGGAAATGCTCCTTTAGTTGTAGGGCAGCTTTTAGATGATGAGTGTCCTGAGGACTTCATTAAGGGATTGATCCTGTCTGTGCGTTCTTTGCTTCCAGTTGAGCCCTTGGTGGAAGAATGTGAAAAGAGGTCTTTCTTTATCCCTGTAGAATTGATCCAAAAATGTTTGCAGTCATGTGTTAAACTTTTTATCCTCTTGGTTTTCAGGAATCGACTCCGCTTGCTGACACAGTTCTTGGAGCATCTTGTAAGTGAAGGAAGTCAAGATGTGCATGTACACAATGCTCTGGGAAAGATTATCATCGATAGCAATAACAACCCAGAGCATTTCCTCACAACCAATCCATACTATGACTCGCGCGTTGTGGGTAAATATTGTGAGAAGCGCGATCCTACCCTAGCTGTTGTTGCATATAGGAGAGGGCAATGTGATGATGAACTCATTAATGTGACAAACAAGAACTCTTTGTTCAAACTTCAGGCGAGGTTAGTCACTCGTTAGGTTTGCGATATTAGCTGGTTTATCAGAAGTCTATTGGTGAGTAAACCATCATATTATAATGTTTTCAGGTATGTGGTTGAGAGGATGGATGGTGATCTTTGGGAGAAAGTTCTTAATCCCGAAAATGAGTTTAGAAGGCAGCTTATTGATCAAGTTGTTTCCACTGCTCTGCCTGAAAGCAAGAGCCCTGAGCAAGTTTCTGCTGCTGTTAAAGCTTTCATGACTGCTGATCTTCCTCATGAACTGATTGAGCTTCTTGAAAAGATTGTGCTCCAGAACTCTGCATTCAGTGGGAACTTTAATTTGCAGAATTTGCTTATCCTGACAGCCATCAAAGCTGATCCATCCAGAGTAATGGACTATATCAATAGGCTTGATAATTTTGATGGACCTGCAGTAGGGGAGGTTGCTGTAGAAGCCCAACTTTATGAAGAAGCTTTTGCTATCTTCAAGAAGTTCAATCTGAATGTCCAGGCTGTTAATGTTCTGCTTGACAACATTCGTGATATTAATCGGGCTGTGGAGTTTGCATTCCGAGTTGAAGAAGATGCTGTTTGGAGCCAGGTGGCTAAAGCTCAACTGAGAGAAGGATTAGTGAGCGATGCTATTGAGTCATTTATTCGTGCAGATGACGCCACCCACTTTTTGGATGTAATTCATGCTGTAGAGGATGCAGATGTTTACCATGACTTGGTTAAGTATTTGCTGATGGTAAGGCAGAAGACAAAAGAGCCCAAAGTTGATAGTGAACTCATTTATGCATATGCTAAAATTGATCGATTGGGTGATATTGAAGAATTTATTCTCATGCCAAATGTTGCTAATCTACCGAATGTTGGTGATAAGCTGTTTGATGAAGGCTTATATGAGGCTGCAAAGATCATATTCGCTTTCATTTCTAACTGGGCCAAGTTGGCGAGCACGCTTGTGAAGTTAAATCAATTTCAAGGTGCTGTCGATGCAGCACGCAAGGCAAATAGTGCTAAGACATGGAAAGATGTCTGCTTTGCTTGTGTTGATGCTGAGGAGTTCCGTTTGGCTCAAATTTGTGGGCTTAGCATTATCGTGCAGGTATCTTAACTTTTTGCTGTACGGGTTATTATCGAGCAGACATTGCTTGCACTTCTGCCTGTCTTCATTTGCATCTAAGGAGATCTTCTGGCTGCTCATGATATGTATATCCTTTTACTTTTGCAGGTAGATGACTTGGAGGAAGTTAGTGAATATTACCAAAATAGAGGATGTTTCAATGAATTAATCTCTCTTATGGAGAGTGGGCTGGGTTTGGAGCGTGCACATATGGGTATCTTCACAGAACTTGGTGTTTTGTATGCCAGATACCGTCACGAGAAGCTCATGGAACACATTAAATTATTCTCCACCAGACTCAACATTCCCAAGCTTATTCGTGCCTGTGATGAGCAGCAACACTGGAAGGAACTCACATATTTGTACATCCAATATGATGAATTTGATAATGCTGCCACTACTGTCATGAATCATTCTCCAGATGCCTGGGATCATATGCAGTTCAAAGACATTGTTGTCAAAGTTGCTAATGTGGAGCTTTATTACAAGGCCGTTCACTTCTATTTGAAAGAGCATCCGGATCTCATTAATGATATGCTAAATGTTCTTGCACTTAGAGTGGATCATACACGCGTAGTGGACATAATGAGAAAGGTCTTTGCTTATAACCAAAACCTCATTTCTTGCAAGAAATGTTTGGATTAGATTGTGATATGCATACTTCTTTGTAAATCATCTGTTGTTTTTTCTGTTGGGTTGACATCAGGCTGGTCACCTTCGCCTAGTCAAGCCTTACATGATTGCTGTTCAGAGCAACAACGTTTCTGCAGTGAATGAGGCCCTTAACGAAATTTATGTTGAGGAAGAAGACTATGATAGACTACGTGAATCAACTGATTTGCATGATAACTTCGATCAAATTGGTCTTGCACAGAAGGTGGAGGCTAGTTCTTCTAAGTTCTCTCTCTGTGTTCATAAGATGTCTCATAACTTTTTCCGCTTTTCTTTTGTTTTAAGCAGATAGAGAAACATGAGCTTCTCGAGATGCGGCGTGTTGCTGCCTATATCTATAAGAAAGCTGGTAGGTGGAAGCAATCCATTGCTCTGTCAAAGAAAGATAATCTCTACAAAGATGCCATGGAGACAGCCTCACAATCTGGAGATCGCGAACTTGCAGAGGAGTTGCTTGTTTACTTTATTGAACAGGTATAGTGGTTTGAATTTTAAGAATTATCCTACTGTTCACTCCCCCTTTCTGCCCAAGCCCCTGAAGAGGTAAACACAGTGATTGCAGAAAATAGGTTATTTACTTGCTCTGTCACCTATGTCAGTTTCATGATTAAATTATTGTGACTTGCGAGTAGGAACCGGCCGTCTTGGTTTACTGGGTATCTGCAGGTGTCAGAGCACCCCCACCTCCACACTCCCTAAAATTAAAGGCGACAGATATCCCAGTAAAAAAGAAAAAAAGTTGGTACACTTCAACGTTTTAGCAGATACGGCTTAAAGTTTTTGTTGCCATATGCATACTTTTTTTGATTAATCTATATGCATATTCGAATGTCATGCTTTGCCTTTTAAAAGAAAACAAAAGGAAATTTATGGACAGGAATTATTAAGGAGGCAATAAAATAGTTTGTGGAAATGATGTTTGTTGGTCCAAGAAATTCCGATACCTTGGATTCTCGTAACCTGTGCATTGGTTAATGCTAGTATAAATTCTAATGTACTAGACACTAGAAAATTCTGAAGCGTCTTACTTTATATTTTTTTCATTTGACTTTTATTCTATTTGTTTACTCTTTATCTTTGTATAAGAAAGCCTTTGGGAGAAATGAAATCGAGCTTCTAACCACTGGTACTTGTTTTTGCAGGGAAAGAAAGAATGCTTCGCATCATGCCTGTTTGTTTGTTATGATTTGATTCGCCCAGATGTTGCCCTTGAGCTTGCCTGGATGAATAATATGATCGACTTTGCATTCCCTTACCTGTTACAGGTAAATCTCTGAACCTCCACTCTGATTTTGTATGTGTGCGCTTTTGCATATCTGCTATATAAAAAAGACAACCTTCTCAGTTATCCCATCAAAAGAAAAAGAAAAGGCCTCAGCTTGATTTTGAGTCCTTTCCTCTGGTAGACCTATTTATTGTGAGACTTATAATTTTGGATAGGCCTGCATTTCACAGCAACTGGTTCTGCAAAATTTATTTTTTGTTGTTGTAGGCAGTGTGGTTAAAGCACACATATTGTGCCTGCGATGCAATTCAAATTTGCTTTGGCAGAACTTCTATGCTCTTTAAATAATAAACTTCTCCACGAGGTTCTGATGAGTCACTTTCATTAGTCACCCTGGTTTAGTTTATGTCAAAATCGTTTGGTCTATCTCTGCATTCTTTTCGGAAAAGTTTTTCCGCACATGAACTGTTAGACCAAAAAAGAAAATTCTTAAACCAGTACACCCCCAATGTTGAGGGTCTGCTGCTGTTTTGAAGATTAGACCTGTCTCGCACAAGATACTCTTATTTCATTTATCCTTTGTTCTGTTGCTCTATGAAATTTTATAAAAATTAAGATGACTTAGGATGAACCTTTTTATTTGTTTATGAGGCTTAAGAGCTGTCTTTGCTTATTTTTTTCCCATCATATTCTTCTCTTTTACTTTCTAGTATCTTTAAACCTGTAATCATTTTTGATTTCGTCCATTGGAGTGCTTCTTATAGATCTTGTTCCACACTGCCATCAGCAATCACTAACTTCTCTCTCTCTCTCTCTCTCTCAGTTTATCCGTGAATACACTGGCAAGGTCGATGAGCTAATAAAAGATAAGATTGAGGCTCAAAGTGAAGCAAAAGCCAAAGAGAATGAAGAGAAGGATGTTATTAAGCAGCAGGTACATAGAGAACCTATCTATGGTTGGAACTAATTGAATTTATTTCCTTATTTTGGCCTGGAATTTATGAATTAAGTTGCATGGATCATGGTAATATTGTGACAAGCGGCACACACGTACACCTTGTGGCAAAATTGACCATCTCTTAATGTGTTGATGTCCAAACCAGGCTTTGCTAATCCTATTCACTGATTGATTGCAGAATATGTATGCACAGCTACTGCCATTGGCTTTACCTGCTCCACCAATGCCAGGCATGGGAGGTGCAGGCATGGGAGGTGGTTTTGCTCCTCCCCCGCCTATGGGTGGAATGGGAATGCCTCCCATGCCTCCATTTGGCATGCCACCCATGGGTTCCTACTAATCTGATGGCGCTCAACATACTGGTATAAACAAACACTACACACGGGCAGGCAGATTATCTGGGTCTTTTGCTCTGTGTTTAGAGTTGTTACCCTTGTTTCTTTCTCACTCACCTTGCAGTTGTTGACCGCTGATGGGAACAAGTGGAGGCTCAAGATAAAATAATTGTTTTCTGTTGTGTGTCATAGGGTGTTGATTTCTCCTTTGTAATATTCTTTTAGAAGAGGCATTTTTTCTTTTATTTTTGTTTGTAGTTAGGCAGAAAGAGGGCAGTTCTATTATTCAGGACCAAAGAGATGCATTATTGCATCTTGTACTGATTTATTGGGGGTCAGTGAAGGTGCTACTTCTCCAGTTTTGTAATTGTTTCCATATTCATTTTCTTGAGGGTATAATTATGTTGAATCCTATTTGGTTTTTTTTTTTTCCTACGCGGACGTGTCTTCATCCTATGTTATACCCAGTTGCTTTTATTCAGCAGATTCTTGATTGTATCTTATCATTCTCTTTTTAACAGCATAGCTAATCTGATTGTATTGAGCTTTATGATAATTGTCTATGGGCGGTGGAACTAACTCGTCTGTTCCTTTTTAGAATTATAATGTTTTATCTTCGCGTTTATTTAGTGATTGTTGGATGTAGTAATCAAACTAAATGAATGTATTCTTTTAAAAGTAATTTTGCGTAATAGGAGTTATTACATATCTTCTATCACTACCGATGCAGCTAATCAAGGGAACTACTTGAGGGGTTTGTAATCGTAGCTCAATCCACCGTCTTATTTTGGTTGATTGGGTTTCTTGTAGTTTATACGTGGGTTGGAAGAAAGTTATAATTCTGTAGCAAATTCTACCAGCGAAAACAAAGATAAAATCGGTTAATTCATGGTTGACAACTTTCTGTAAAGCAACAATTGACTTCGTGAACTTTTTAGGCTGTCTTCCACAAACAATCACATTCCGTGAAACTCGTCATTTTTATGATTTTATAGCCAAGAAAAATATAATGGCTCGTCTAAACCACGGGTTTCAAAAATCTATTTTTCTTAAATTCCATGTCAAAATAAAATAAAGGAAGTATATAGTAATTCACCCTTCACCTGCTTCTCATGCGCTGTGCATTATCTTGTTTGTTCTCTTGTTTTCTTTTTCCCACAATTATTTTCTCAACTCAAATAAAATTACATAATAAATTGGAGAAATTAATTATTGAATTGGAATCCCATAATATTGAATTAAAATGAAGCCTAAGATGATGGGTGGTGGGGAAAGGTTCACATCCATGATTTGTATTCCATCACGCTTGTATGCAGGTTTCACTAAAACAAAATCATTCTTATGATTAATATTGTGGTCTTGGTACGATCTTCATAATTGAAAAAAGAACCGAGAGATCTAAAGAACAAATTAGAAGAATTGCTCTTGAACAATTGAGGTATGAGTTAAGACACATAAGGAAGAAGATATTATTGCCTTAAATCACTAATTCGATGCTTACATATGGGAATTAATCCAACTAGATTAAGGAAATCTGGGGTCATGTGCTTTCCACGTGCCTAACTGTTATAACCAACTTTCAGCTGGAAATAGGGGAAATAAATGTGCAAATGAAAAATACAAAGAATGTAATTCCAAATATAATTGGATCATAACAACTACCCTCCCCTTCAAAAATCCTTGTCCTCAAGGATTGAAAATAGGAAATCTGAACTGGAAATCATGTAAATCTTCCCAAGTGATGTCTTCAGAAGCTGAGTTTAACCACTTGACAAGGACCTATCACGACCCGAATTTTCCACCTTTGGGAGTCGTGATAGCACCTACTAATGAAAGCTAGGCAAGCCAAACGTTTGAACAATTTATCTGTTTTTCCATTTTTAATCGTTCAACAATTATGAAACAATAGTTTGTAAACAACAGAATTTAAACAAGCGGAAGAAACCATAAAACCATTTTTATATGTCTGATACAATCTCTTAAACAAAGACTACCCAGAACTGGTGTCACACTTTACAGACGGTCTAGGAATACTACAAACAAAGTCTGAAAAATAAGTAATACACTGTTTCTGAAATACATAAATGAAACAGGATGAAGGGATAGAGGGAGACGCCAGGGCCTGCGGATGCCTGCAGGACTACCTTGGATCTCCGTGTTGACTGAAGGCAGCCACCCAAGCTAAGGTCCAAAAGCTGCAACGCCGGGATCAGTACATAGTGCAGAGTGTAGTATCAGCACAACCGACCCATGTGCTGGTAAGTGCCTAGCCTAACCTCGGCGAAGTAGTGACGAGGCTAGGACCAGACTACCGAACAAACCTGTGCAGTTAAATCATATACAGCGGAAAGTAGAAACCGAAATGTACAGTTAATAATAGGAGGGGGAAATATGTTGCGGGGGAAACATCAATTAAGAATAAGAAGGCAACAAGTAAATACGAGGAACACCATATCTAAATTTTCAACAAGAACCAGGAATCAAACAAGTGCACGGCATCACCCTTCGTGCTTTTACCCTCGTCCTCACCATACGAATCAATATAAACTGCGCGGCATCACCCTTCGTGCTTTTACTCTCGTCCTCACCATAGCATCAATATAATCGGCACGGAATTGTACATCGTGCGGCACGACATTACCCTTCGTGCTTTACACTCTTCCTCACAAATCATACACGGCATCACCCTTCGTGCTTTAACACTCTCCCACCAAAACAATACACGGCATCACCCTTCGTGCTTTAACACTCTTCCTCGCCCAAACAACAATCACAAGCAATAAGGCAAGGAAATGAATAAAATTGCAATAAAATCCCGGCAAGGGAATAATATCAAAAGCATCAACATCCCGGCAAGGGAGACAATATAATAATTCTCTTCTCTTTTTTTCACTTTTACTTCACAACTTGAGCCAATGCTCTATAAGGTTCAAATGCCAATTATACTTCCACAATTCATTATACGACTTGAGCCAATGCTCTTCAATACTCAAATATCACTATTACTTCCACAAACTTTACTCAACAATAGAAATCATCACAAAAGGCATGAATAATACAAACGAAGTCATAATAATCATAATATAAGACTCACGGGCATGCTTGACACCAACATATAGATACTCGTCACCATACCTATACGTCGTACTCAACAAATAACACGTAGCAAATAGTACACAACTCCTAATTCCTCAAGCTAAGGTTAGACCAAACAATTACCTCGATTCCACGAACACAATTCAAGTCTCAACTATCACTTTACCTCTTGATTCCACTAATAATTCGCTCGTATCTAGCCACAAGTTACTTAATTACATCAATAAATGCTAAATGAATCAATTCTAATGCATGAAAATAAGTTTCCTAATGTTTTTCCCAAAAAGTCAAAAATTGCCCCCGGGCCCACATGGTCAAAACCCGAGGTTCGAACTAAAACCCGATTACCCATTCCCCCACGAACCCAAATATATAATTTATTAAATCGGACCTCAAATCAAGGTCCAAATCCCTTAAATTTGAAAAACCTAGGTTATATCCAAAATACCCAATTTCCCCCATAAAAACCTTTGATTTTGAGTTGAGATCATGTGAAAAGATGTTAAAGATTGAAGAAAACGAGTTAGAAACGACTTACAATTGATTTGGAGAAGAAAGTTTTTTTGGAAAATCGCCCAAGAGAGTTTATGTTTTGAGAAGAGGTGAAAAATGACTGAAAATGCGTCTAAGTGTTAATTAACTGGTCTTAGATGTCGCAATTGCGAACCCCTCAGAAATCTGTTGTTGTCGCATTTGCGACTAAGTATCGCAATTGCGAAGTCGCTTTTGTGACCGGATTGTCGCATTTGTGACCAAGGGGAATTCCAGGCCACTTCGCAAATGCGATGGGCCTTTCGCATTGCGAGATCGCTTTTGCGATCACTACGTCGCATTTTCGACCCCAAGGCAGACCAGGTCCTTTCGCATTTACGAGCCAGGCTTCGCAAATGCGAAGCCTGCAGACCTGCAACATACCAGCAAATTCCTAAGTTAAAATTCCACTCCGTAGCCTATCCAAAACTCACCCGAGCCCTCGGGGCTCCAAACCAAACATGCACACCAACTTAAAAACATCATATGGACTTGCTCGTGCATTCAAATCACCAAAATAACATCAACAACTTTGAATTTAACACCAAAATCATGAAATCACTTAAGAATATCAAATTTTCCAATTTTCTCAAATAAGGTCCAATTCATGTCATTTCAAGTCCGTTTCTTACCAAATTTCATAGACTCAACTTAAATCATATATAAGACCTGTACCGGGCTTTGGAACCAGAATACGGGCTCGATACCATAAAATTTCAAACACATTTCATTTCTAAAAACTCAAATATTTCAGAAAATAATTTTCTTTAAATAATTCATATCTCGGGCTTGGGACCTCGGAATTCGATTCCGGGCATACACCCAAGTCCCATATTTTCCTACAGACCCTCCGGGACCGTCAAATAATGGGTCCGGGTCCGTTTACCCGAAATATTGACTGAAGTCAACTTAAATTAAAATTTTAAAGGCTAAATTAACATCTTCATCACATTTCCACATAAAATTATTTCGGATATATGCCCGGACCGTGCACGCAAATTAAGGTGATGAAAAAGGAGGCTTCTAAGGCCTCGGAACGCAGAATTTACTCGTAAATCAAGTGATAACCTTTTGGGTCATCACATCCTCTACCTCTAAAACAACCATTCGTCCTCGAACGGACATAAGAAGGAAGTACCTGAGTCGGGGAAAAGATGGGGATAACGGCTCCGCATATCGGACTTGGACTCCCAGGTCGATGCTTCAGCAAGCTGACTCTCCACTGAACACGAACAGAAGGGAAATTCTTCGATCTCAACTGACGAACCTGCTGGTCTAGAATAGCTACCGGCTCCTCCTCATAGGACA